TGACAACCTGCACAGCCAGAGGCGAGGTTGATGAGGTTGCTCCGATCCAGAAGCCCTGCCTTGCGGTTCAATGCTTCATAATTTGTCCGCATCGAATAAACCACAGCCAGCCTTCGGGCACACTGTCGCACACCAGGAGTCGGAAACTACACAAATTTCACATGTCGACAGAACATGTGTCCCCCGTGAATATACTCGTGGGGCCATAATTGGACCAATCCTTAGATGCTCCTGGGCCTCGAAAGAATCTGACAGTGAACAAAAGGATAAACGGAAGGCAGTCTTCATACCCTTCACTGCTCGGTGTCACTCAGCCTTGGCGTGAGATCCTTGGTAAAATGTGAGCGCAAGCAGGTTCGGGAGGTAGCTGCCTGGGTTCTCGCAGACTCTGCTGGAGGGAGCACTTTCTTCCATTCACGTCTGTCCCAGCTCCTCTCTCCTCCGCATCTCCACTCCTATCTCCTCTTTCTCTTCTCACACTTCATGGGATCACACTGCACGGCTTTTTACCCTCACCTGAGGACGTTTTTGCATTTATCTTCAGATAGAGGAGGAAGGAAGGGAGGAAGAGAGAGAGAGAGAAACATCAATGTGAGAGAGACACATCTACTGGTTACCACCCACATGACCCCAACCAGGGCCAACAAACGGCAACAAGGTACATGCCTTTAGCAGGAACCAAGCCCGGGCCTCTCCGGTCCACAGGCTGGCGCTCTCACCGCTGAGCCAAACCGGCCAGGGCTGCACATCACTGTTGGAATTACTAGTAAACACGTTTTCGCCTCAGTAATACCAAATGAGCCGCCTTCTATGTGTTTGTTTTTTCCTAGCTGCAACGTTTTCCTTCATGAAGACATGCCACATGTTACTCCATCCAACTCTTTTTTTTTTTTTTTAGCATTCGGAGAGTTTTCTCTTTCCCACTGCTGTGCTGGAAACAGCGCCCGCTGGTCGCCCGCGTGTACGCATCCGCGTAGAATAACCGTCTAAACGCGCGTCACTGCGCGAGTTTGCTGTCCTCCCAGCATCGTGAGCCTGCTTGGTGGGCGTGTGTCCCCGCATCGACTTCTGTGCTCACCGCCCGTTCTGCCTATGAAACTTCTGCCCCAAATAAAAGTAAAATACACTTTGCCGAACTCGTCCTCTGTTCCGAGCAGTCACCTAAGTGGTTTACCTGTATTGACTTACTTGCTCTGCAGATCAATGCAGTGGGCTGGGTACGCTATTAGCCTCGTTTTACATACGAAGAAACTGAGGCTCAGAAAGGAGCTTGCCCAAGTGTTCACAGCCCCAGAGCCTGCTTTTCTGTCACCAAACTAGGCGTCTCTGATGGTCTCCCTCCCTCCATCCTGGCCTGGTGCAAGTGTCTCATCCCAGACGCTTGGCCAGCACGGCCCAGCCAAGACCACCAGGCTGCTCGCTCACCACCGGCTGCCCTGCCCACTGCCCCACGTCTGGTCCCTGACAAACAAATAGCAAACATGTGCCAATATCTATTTAACCTGCCGGCGAGAGGAACAGAGGAAAACCAAAGAGATTGCTCCAGCAGCACCCAGGAGAGACAGTTATATAGTCGGGAAAGGAAAACCGAGATAAGATAACCGAGTTTGATAGACGCCTGGTGAACTCTCTACAGACCAATAAGCCCTATCAACTTGGGTTAAACTTCTCTAGCAAGGCTGCAAAATCATGACATTTTCTCAATGCCCCCTCCTCTCTCTCATAAAGAACTCGTCATTGCCCAGCTGGTGTGGCTCAGGGAGTGAGTGTTGACCCACGCACCAAGAGGTTGCCGGTTCGAGTCCCAGTCAGGGCACATGCCCAGGTTGTGGGCCTGATCCCCAGTGGGGGGCATGCAGGAGGTGGCTAGTCGATGTTCTCTCTCATTGATGTTTCTCTCTCTCTCTCTCTCTCTAAAAATCAATAAAGAAAAAAAATAAAGAGCTTGTCATTGGACTTAGTGCCCACCCAGAGATTCGGAGATGATCTCATTTCAAGATCCTTAACTTAATCATATTTCAAAGACCCTCTTTTCAAGTACATTCACGATCACAAGTTCCAAGTTGAGGATGTAGAGATGGCCTTTTGGGAGCCACTGTTCAACTGTATTAGGTTTGTATGTATGTACTGTGTATGTACAGATATATTCTCTGCTGTCTGTTCCTGCCTATGAGGGTGTCAAGTTTGTGTGTGTCTTATCATTATTGTATCCCAGCCACTTAAAATGGTGCCTAATATATACTAGATACTCCACACATATTAGTTGAGTGAATTGGTTAATATGGCCACTCAAAAATATACTATATGTGTCATTAATGTATTTTTATTTTATTTTTTATGAACTTCCTTGAATTTGGTTGGTGATAACTAAATCCTGGGGACTTAATCTCTGGGTATACCACTAAAACTGACTGCCAGAGTCGATATCCTGGCTAGCTAATCCCACCAAGACTGGCTCAGAACTTCTAACATGCTCTGTGTGCCCGGCTCACAAACAGCCCTCTCCACGGTGCATGGGCCCATCGCACTGCAGAACCTTCCTCTGGGGGGCTCTTTTCCACACGGGTCTGACCGGTGCCCTCTCCTTTGCTTAGCCCATGCATTCAGGTTTCTCCCACACACAGAGGTCAAGGGGACACCACTGGTTCCCATCTGCTCTTTGAAACCCTGTTTAATATAATTTATGACGGAATATTTCTTCCACACTGCCTTGCCCAGACACTGGCGAGAAACAATCAGGAAACACATGGCCCTGATGTTTAGGGTCTCCCGGGTTGCATTTGTGGAGCTCAGTGGGTGTGGGGTGGCTTCAGACAGACCTGGGGAGCTCTCCCCGTGGGTCTCCCACGCAAACCCTGAGTCTCAGCCTGCTCCCGTCTTCCACTGGCCAAGACCTTTAATTTTTTTTTTCTTTATTGATTTTAGAGAGAGAGGAAGGGAGAGAGAGATAGAAACATCGATGAGAGAGAACATCGATTGGCCGCCTCTTGCACGCCCCCGACTGGGGATCGGGCCCACAACCTGGGCATGTGCCCTGACCAGGAATTGAACCCGCGACCTCTTGGTGCATGGGTGGATGCTCAACCACTGAGCCACACCGGCCAGGCCCACACCTTTGACAATGAGGTGTTATGCATCACAGCAGTTGGCCCTGTGAACACTGTGAGGGAGGCAGAGCTTGCATTTTTATTCCTGTTTTGCACAAGAAGAAACCGTGTTTCGGAAAGTTGAAATGGTTTGTCCCAGGCCACGCGATACACACATCAGATTGCTGGCAGCCGGTGGTGGTTTTACGCCTCATTCCTGCTGAAGGTGTTCCTGGCCTCCTTCCCCATGCACGTGCCTTATATGTCTCTGCCATAATGCTGTGATTCATATGAAATGTCTCAGAAAATAATCACTTTTCCTTGTATGTGTGGTTCGACCAGGTCCCGTGCACAGTCTCAGCTGGCTGAAGAAGCCTGTTTTCTCTCTAAGGAGACCCGTGAGCAAAGAACGGGCCCCGGGCTCCGAGTCAGGACCCCTGGGCTTTGGACACTGCTCCCCACTCTGGGACGGAACATCATTTCCTTCCTGGACTCTGCTGGGGAAGTCTGTACAATGTAGCAAAGAATCCCGCCTAAGGCCGCCTCCTTCAGAAGAAAGAGAAACATTCTCGAAAGTGTTTTGTTCTTAGCCAGCAAACGCTGCAGATGCCAGAAGCCATTCTATTTTAAACTCTTCTGCTGACAGATTCAACTTGGCACTGGCACTGGCATGTTCTGTGGAATACGACTTCGGTGCAGCTGCTGTGGCCACTGGCGAAACTGAAGCGGGGGGCGGGGGGGGCGGATCTGCGCACCCTTCTGTGGACGTGTGGGCACGTCGGATCAGAAAGGACTGGGGTACACAGGCTGGCTGTCCGATGAACAAGTAGGGGAACGGGGAGTCACCGGGGCAGAGGATGAAAGCTGGCATGTCCTACGATCACCTCATTGCCCGTGCGGGACACGTGTGGTGCGGGAGTGGGGGCGGGGAAGTGAAGAAGAAAATGAAGAGGAATGAGAACACCGAGTTCAGAAGAAAAGAAGCTGATGGGGGCAAGTGTCATTCACAAATAATATACTTGATGATTTTATTTATCGTCTATTTTGTGCTCATCCACGAGAGGATACACACAAACATCTGTGACATCTAGAAGGGGAATATGGACGCCAATACTAGGCAACTGCATACGTTATATCAGGACACAGACTATAATGTACAAGGTGTACTTCAGGTACAGGACACGGACTATAAGTGTACGAGGTACACTTCAGGTATAGGACACAGACTATAATGTACAAGGTGCTCTTCAGGTACAGGACACGGACTATAAGTGTATGAGGTACACTTCAGGTACAGGACACAGACTATAAGTGTATGAGGTACACCTCAGGTACAGGACACAGACTATAACTGTACGAGGTACACTTCAGATACAGGACACAGACTATAAGTCTACAAGGTACACTTCAGGGACAGGACACAGATTATAACTGTACAAGTTACACTTCAGGTACAGAGAACAGAAAGCACAATTGGTACTGGAAGCAGGAAGGTATTTAATGCAGAGGCTAACGCAAGGCGGTAGAAGGCCTTGACCTGTCTACACTCTCTGCCACCAAGTCCGACTCCCAGCTCGACACCCTGGGCGGGACTGCAGGGCGAGCTGCTGTCGGGCCTCAGGCAGGAAGCCATCCCGTCCATGGGCCTCGAAGCCCGTCGAGCACGACAGATCCCCAGCCAGCTGTCCCCACCTACCTCAGAAGAGACGTCTCTGTACCAGGGCTGTTCCCACAGGGGACAAACCACATGCCCAGGTGCAGACCGCGGGCCACGACCAGCAGCTTGTGGTCGAGGTGGACATGGGATGGCCTAGTAACCTGAGTGCTGTCCGGCTGAGGCACTGAAGGAGAAGGGACAGAAGGGCGGGCAGCCAATCACATCGTGTCTCTAATCGCTGTGCTGGAGGAGTCAGCTCAGGTGGCCGGGCCTTGGATCAGTTTCTTCAGAGCCTCCTTGGCCTCTCGGTTCCTCAGGCAGTAGATGAAAGGGTTGAGCGCGGGGGTGACGACGGCATAGAAGACGGAAACGACTTTGTGCAGGTGGAAGGCGTGGATGGCTCGGGGCCGGGCATACATGAAGATAGTGGCGGAGTAGAAGATGGTGACCACCACGAGGTGGGAGGCGCAAGTAGAGAAGGCTCTCTGCTTTCCTGTGCGCATGCGTAGCACGGTGGCCAGAATGCAGCCATAGGACCACACCGTGATCGACAGGGGGACGAGGAAGATGACCAGGGCCAGGATGAAGTCCACCAGCTCAGCTGTGGACATGTCCACACAGGAGAGGCTGAGCACCGGAGAGATGTCACAGAAGAAGTGATTGATGATGTTGGGGCCACAGAAGCGGAGGCGCGAGATGAAGTAGATCTTGGCCAGGGAGATGCCAAAGCCAATGGCCCAGGAAGCAAGAGCCAGGCGGAAGCAGAGGGTGTGGCTCATGAGGGTCGGGTAGCGCAGCGGGCGGCAGATGGCCACGTAACGGTCATAGGCCATGGCGGCCAGGAGCACGCACTCCGTGCACATGAGCGCGATGAAAAAGTAAAGCTGTATCATGCAGTGCGTGAACGAGATGCTGTTGCTCACCGACCAGACACCGAACAGCAACTTGGGGACAGTCACAGAGACGTACCAGGTCTCCAGGAAGGACAGGTTGGCCAGGAAGAAGTACATGGGCTTGTGCAGCGGCCGGTTCTGCTGCACCAACAGGATGATGAGCGTGTTTTCAGCCACGGTCAAAAGATAGGCCACCAGGAACACCAGGAACACCACGGCTCGCACGCCCCAGCTCCCGGGGAAGCCCACCAGAATGAACCTGCTGACCCGGGTCTGGTTCTCCCCTTCCATCTTGGAGACGCAGGCTTAGCTCTCCTGGAAGGGAAACACCGCTGGGTCAGACGCCAGGGTCCAGTTAGAACCTTCGATCCTTCGCCTTCTCTGACCAGCAACAACCATTTAGTAAGAACATAGTATAAGCTAGACCACACACTGGATACATTATGCGCATAATGTGATTCACCTCTCACGTAGCCTCTTGGTAATGTTGCTACACCCATTTTAGTGATGAAGACACTGAGTCTCAGAGAGGTAGGCAGTGAGTCACTTACCTGGTTCTCCCTGGCAGCAGGGCAGGGGTCACATTCAAGTCTAAGCCGACAGCCCGTGTTCTGTCTGGTATCCGACACTGCCTGTCACAACCACCCCCAAATGAAACGGCATCAAGCCTCCGTGTGGCAATTCCAAAAAGTACACCTGGCTTTCCTTGCCCGTCACCTACCCGGAGTCCTGGAAGTTCTTCCTTCGTCTCTCACCTGCTGTCACCTCCTCGACATCCAGGGGCCGGAGGGCGGCGGCGTCTCTGGGAGGGAGGGAGAAGTGGAGATGCGCGTCATGCTTCTCAGTGTCAAGGATCTGACCACGCCTGCCCTCGATTCGCTGTGCAGGGTGGGGCCAAAGTAGGGTGACAGTTGTTTGTACAGAAAATAATACAATAGTTAATAAAAATTCAAGAAGAAACTCTGTCTTGCATGCTCATAACTGTACACCTGCTTTGGCCCCACCCCGGGTGATCCTCTCCCAAACCCGATTTCCTCCTCTGTAAACAGAAATGTGAATATTCATCCAGCTCATGTCATTGTGCATCAAAAGCCAAATGAGAGAACGGAAGTGAAATTGCACATGAACGGTGAGTGACAGTCAGGGTGGCAGGGGCTCCTCCGCCCACGGGGCGCTCAGAAGGTTGGGTTGGGCGAAGAGCGAGGCGAGTGACCGCTTTGAGCCTGAAGAGTAGTGAGCAAAAGAAACACAGGCTTCCTCCCAGGGGGCTGCCCGTCCTTGCTGGTGGGCACGAGAGTCCTGGGTGGAGATTTTTTTAAATAAGCAAACAAAGGGAGAAATACATAAAATCCGAGACGTTTTCTAGGAAGGTTGAAAAACAGGAAATGCTACTCATGGGATCAGGGAAGGTCCCTCTGGCCAGTGAGGTGACTGGAGGCAGGGGACTCCAGGTGCCTGGCCCGTGGAAGGGCTGGGCTGGGCTGGGAGACAGACGGTCACTGTGGTGCTGTTGGTACTGGAGAAGGCAGGGGGGCAGGTGGGGAAGGGGGCGGGGCCAGACTGTGCACACCCCCTGGGTCCTGGGAAAGGGTCTGCCAGTGCTTCATGCAATGAGAGCAAGGAAGGGCTGAACAGGCACGGGGTGAGTCACGCTCTGGAGGGCGGCTGTCGTCATGGCAGAGCCCCCGCAAGCACGGGGACAGGCTGGAGGCCAATCAGAGAAGGTGACGGTAACCTTGACGACGAGGGTGGTGTCAGACAAGTGGGTGGATTTAAGGTACGTTTCAGGAGAACCTTTAACAGTAACCGATGGATTGAGGATGAGGGCGAAGGAGAAGGGGGGATCAAGGAGGAGGCTCGCGTACGTGTTTATGACATGGTGTGAGGCTTTAGTAAGACGGGGAACTACGGTGTTCACAGCCGTTTCCCTCCTAGGTCACGGCTCAGAATCTCCTAGGGTTAGGGCTTGATGAGCTCCAACATGAAGCCTAGGCAATCAGTCCGAAAACTCTCCAACAAGAATGTACTGATGCCTTACGAGGTGCCAGGAAGTTTGCTAAGCACTTTTCACACAATCTTCCATTAGATCCACGAAACGCGACTAATGAGGTGCTATTGTAATTGTGCAGAAGACACTAATCTAGATGAGCGCTTCCAAGTGAGACAGCGACGGAATCGGAATAGAGCGAGGCCGGGAACTCTCCGACGGGGAGCATGCCCTGGTCTGCAGGCTGTCACGGCAGACGAGAAACACAGATCTGGGACCCTCCGCCTCTGTTGGCATTTAACATTTCTGACATGCTAGGAAATATCCTCTAGTCCTACTGAGATTCCACTACTGGGCACACGCTGTTATGGATAAGCCCGGATTTAACATGCATATGCATGACACAGGGACATATTCGATCAGACAAACAACACAGTAATGAGCACATAGAAGTGCCTGGCGAAGGTATCGTAGGAGAGAGAATCATTGGACTGAGCCTTGAAATATAAATGAGTGAGAGGACAAGGTATGGGAGGGAATGAGAGAACAGAGGCGGAGAGGTATGAAACAGCCTGGGATTTCAGGGAGCTGCTCGTAAGTGCCTGATCTCTGTGTGATGGGCGAAGTGTGAATGAATGAAAGAGTGAAATGGGACAGAGGGAGAGGGGGACAGAGAGAGAGAGAGAGAGAGGGAGAGAGAGAGAGGGAGGGAGGGAGAGGAAGAAAGAGGGAGGGAGGGAGAGAAAGAAACAGACAGTATAAATAGTGTCAAGGGCTACATCCTGGAGACCTTTGCATAAAAAATTACGGCGTTTAAGAATTATCTTCTAGTACAGACAAGAAGTAACTGCTGAATGTTTTCAGCAGGTTTTAACATCCTCATACTTCGCCCTGGCTTTTGATGCGGGAGGTGGATGAGGATGGGTCACGATGACCAAACCAGAGGCTGAGACCGAGTCGGACGACACTCGACAGCAAACACAGACCCGCACAAAGAGGAAAATGACCGGTTACAATGTCTGTGAAGGAGACCCATTTAGACATACCTGCTCACAGATTACACAAGTAAATTTGCGTTCCTAAAGAAAGCTTAATAAAATCACATTTCCCTACTCCTCACGACTAAATAAAGAGTGCCCTGGCACTAATTACGGCACACTAAAGTGAGGAATGAACCACACTTACTGTCAGTGTGTTATTCTACTGTAAGATGTGCAGACCACCCCACTGACAATAGTTTCTACCCCAAGACACTGTACTCAAACTCGGTCCCCCACAGCAAATTTTTCCCGTCGATCTAAAATCAAATATCTGAGCTGCCTCTCTCCCTTCTCATACCTGCTGTGTATGCACCTTCCCTTAATTTTCTCTGGATTCTGCACAACCGTAGGTTTTGAGTCATTTAAATTTGAGGAAAACATAACCTTTGTCCCTGCCGGGACAACAGCACGTTTCTATGACCACGGTCATCAATGATTTACCAGGAAGACACGCAGCCTGCAGTACTGTGTGTCGGAGACGGGGACACCTGCCGTCTGCACCAGAACCTGGGGCACTGACTCGGATCCAGCACCAGAGATGCCCCTCCAGAGAGTCAGGGGAGTGTGCTCCTTCAGCTCAGCACATACCTCGCTGCACTGAATGCTACAAAGGTGAGCGTGTGGCTGGGTTGCTGGAACCGAGGCTGGGTTCTAGAGAGACCTGTGGCAATGAAATGTACTATTCAGGGTTTAAACACTGCGGTGCCACAGAGCTGTCCGCATGGGTAGAAAGTGATGCTCCGGGCGGGGGCACTTACCTCCGCTCAGCAACCTCTGAGGGGGCAGACGGTAGAAAGAAATTCTGTGCTGATTCTGAAACAGGACGGAGGAGGAAAGAAAGATTCAGATATTAAAAAGATGGGAAGAACCCAGCCTTTAAACCTGGATGGAGTGAATGGGCCCAGGTGCCCAACTGCTCCCAGGCTGACAGCCGGAACCGGAGGAGAGGGGAGCCCAAGGCTCGCCCAGCAGGCGGCTCTGCGAGCACCCCCGGCCAGGGCACACATCACCGCCCTGGGCAGCGCGCTGGCTCGCACACCTCGAGCTGCGACGATCTTTGGGTTCTGAGGGTTTTATCGGGCATCAAGACTTCCCCTACGTATCTGCCGGCCCCAAGAGGAAAGAACCTTGACGATGGCAGTTCAGGTCTCTTGTGGGATCCCCAAGAAGCTTCTCTTCACCTATTGCAACAGTCTTATTTGTTTTATATGATATCAGTTCCATAGGGGGGAATCTACGAATGGCCACATGCTTTGAAAACAACCACATCTGAATTTATTTTTTGTTGAAACACGAAGAGAAAAAAATGACTACTTTTTTTTTTTCTTCATTGATTTTAGAGAGACAGGAAGGGAGAAGGAGAGAGAGAGAGAGAAACATCGATGACAGAGAACATCGACTGGGCACCTCCTGCAGGCCCCCCACTGGGGATCAGGCCCACAACCTGGGCATGTGCCCTGACCGGGAATCGAACCGGTGACCTCTTGGTGCCTGGGTCGATGCTCAACCGCTCAGCCACACCAGCTGGGCCAACAATGACTACTTTCAAATATATTTTCAGATTGTCAATTATTATTCAGTCTTCAGCTTACTTGAAACAGGAAGGTGCTCCAAGGGAGATAGTAATACCCTGAGTGTTGCTACAGTGTAGTACATTTTTAAAGTTTTTGCTATAAACACTTGTGCCATCATGTGTACTAAGGAAAAGTATCATGTGACGGGATCGCCATTAACTGCTTGGCCACTGCCTTTGGGAGCCACTTGACCAATCCTTCACGTTCTGGCACAAAACTCCAGCTGACGGAGCATCACCTGGGACCTCGGGAGCCGCACTCACAGAGAGAAAAGCTGTCAGGTTCACAGCGCGTTCATGCAACGGTCACCGAGACAGGGACCGTTATAAACAGCGCGCCGGCCACACGTGTTCATGCCACCAAGCACCTGCGGCCTAGCTTCTCTTAGCGCACCCAAGTGTGAAGCCAATGTGCGCAAGTCCCAACAAGGCGGTTCTTCCAAATCTCTGGCCTCGGCCTCTCTCAAAATCCTGAAACACTCTGCCAGCCTCTAGAGCAGCAGTTCTCAACCTGTGGGTCGCGACCCCTTTGGGGGGTCCAACGACCCTTTCACAGGGGTCGCCTAAGACCACCGGGAAATGCATGTTTCCGATGGTGATTCATCACAGTAGCAAAATCACAGTTGTGAAGTAGCAACGGAAACAATTTTATGGTTGGGGGTCACCACAACATGAGGACCTGTATGAAAGGGTCGCAGCATTAGGAGGGTTGAGAACCACGGCTCTAGAGGGTACATTTGATCGTGCCCACCATTTCCCAACCTGGACTTTACGCATGTGAGGTGATGGCCACGACTAGACATGGAAATGACAGTCCCCGCCGAATGAGTTGTGTTCACCGCGTCTGGGCCCTGGCTGTGCTGGCCATGTGGGAGGGAGGCTGGAAGGGGAGCCCGTTTCTCCAAGGATAGGGAACGCCATCTGTTTTGAGAAGGTTCCACACATTGCTGTGACAGCCCTCCTTTACACGAGATGTGTGAGGTCCGAATTCCAGACGAATGATCCCCACTAGGCTGGGGCTGTTCCGCAGATCTAAACTGGCTGCAGTCCATGCCAGACGGACACAATTTCATCTTAGGGTTCGGCTGCACAGGCTCTTCTTGGTGCTGGTTCTGTCTTCACCTGCTGGCTGTTCCTGGTTGGAGGATTTTTCAGACCCACCCAGGGTACACGGGAGAAAATCAGCAGACCCTGGGAACTCACTGTCACACTGCCTCCCAGGTCCTGGGGTCCCTCGGTGGTCGGCCTTCTTTTTCTCAGGCTTCTCCTATCGGTTGTTGTGTGATGTCCAGCTTTTCAATCATCGGGGGAAGTTTATGTTTTCATTGCGTAGGATGTCACCACAGTGTGTTACCTGGTCCCCAACAGGACAGGTAAGGGGCCCTGGAGCTTTAGTTCATTAGCTTGACGGCTCAGCTGCTTCTGGATGGAGGAGAGGACAGTTAAGGGCAACGCCCTCCAGATGACCACAGACTACATGGAGGGAGTGAGCACACAAGGGGGCATGGAACCAACGGCGGGAAAGATGAGAACAAAAACAAAATGTGTTTGGGGGGGTGGCAATGGATGAGGAAACTGTGCTAGGGTTCATCCAACAGAGGCCATGATGGGGTCAGAATGTGTTAGAGTTATACTGTATGATGTAAACCGGAAAGATAGGAATTGGAGTCAGAACCCAGTGGGGGATTCGATATGCAGATGTTACAGGAAGTACAACTATTGGTAACAGACAGGTCTCGAGTATAAACACAGAAATGGGTGATGGAGAGGGGGGTAGAATAAAAAACATTGGAAGGGGAGAGACGTCAACTAACTGAGAGGCCAGGATGCTGAATGGATCTGCAGAGATGCAGAAATGTCCACGTGATGACAGAATCGGTTTTACCAGAGTAGAACGAGGAGGAATGTGATAAATGATGGAAAAAGGGGGGGGGATGATGGCGCTGTAAGTTGACAGCATGTGTTTCAAAGAAGCTGGGGATACTCAGGGAAAATAAAAGCAATGGTCTGGAAAGAGCAGAGGATCAAGAAAGTCGCCTTCTTGACCTCTCGACTCTATTAGAGGAAATATGGGGGGGGGTTTGTATTTGAGAGGGCTGAGTGAACAGTCAGGTTCAAGTACAGCAAGAAGGAGAAGAATGCATCCGAGGAAGACACTCAGACTGTAGAGTCATTTTGCTGAACACAGAGCACAGGTGTCAGGAGACAAGGAAGAACAAGTGTGGCATCACAGGAGGTTAGCACGTGAGTCAGATGTGTAGGCGGACTGGGATGGAGTCCAGATGACAAAGGGACGCATGACAATATTCCTTGGGACAGTCTCTTAAGAGAAAGTGATTAACCAGATCTAATTAAAACCTCTTTCTCCACTGGGCTCCAGCCAAGTCCTCAAATCCCTTAGGGGTGGCAGCTTTATTTTGTACGCATCGCTCTGGCTTTGATTTCTACACTCTCAACACATAAAGATTTATAGCTTTTAAAGCTTCACTTTACACTTAGAAGGTTTTGACTCGTAGCCTGTCATAGCACAACTTAATTTCCATGTCCCTTGAAGCCATTTTTTGTTGGCTAAAGTTGTTTTCACACTTTTTGTCATAACTGTTATGATGTTTTAAAGGATGAATGGGTAATCATTGTATTGAGGTCTTGCTCGTGTACGTATGGATTTCTGCCACCATTTAAAAGTGAATGATGTCAAGAGAACAAAAAAACAAACTGCATACTCACAGGAAGAAAGTTTTTGCAAAAGACTTCGCTCATAAATAACTGTTATCCAGAATCTACAAAGAACTCTTAAATCTTGACAATAAGAACACAAACAGCCTGATTCAAAAATGGCCCGCTGCCTCAGCAAACACCTCACCAAAGACGAGGCACACATGGCAAATAAATACATGAACAGATGCTTCGCGTCATATGTCATCAAGGAAATGCAATTAAAGCAATGTACTACTACTACACACCTGTTAGAATGACCCAAACCCGGAACACCGACCCCACCAACTGCTGGTGAAGTATGGAGCAATGGGAAGTCTCATTCACTGCTGGTGGGAAGTCACAATGGTACAGCCACTTGGGAAGACAGTTTGGTGGTTTTTCACAAAACCAAACATATATTTACCATATGATCCAGCAATTATGTGTCTTGGTATTTATCCAAAAGAGTCGAAAACATGTCCACACAAAACCTAGCAGCTTTATTCATAATTACCAAAACTTGAAAACAAACAAGGTGTCCTTCTGTAGGTGGATGGATAAACTGTGGTACATGCAGATAATGGAATAGGATTCAGTTCCAAAAAGAAATGAATGACTAAGCCATAAAAAGAGATGGAAGGAACTTAAATGTATATTACTAAGGCAAAGAAGCCAATCTGAAAAGGCTACATGTAGTGTATGATTTCAATTATATGACATGTGGATTCATTTTTGCTACCTAGGGGTAGGTTTGCAGTAATATATAATTGACAGGCACTATTTGGTATTTTGTTATAATTTTTTTCTGCTTATTGTATCTATGGAACAGAAAGAGAAAATAAACTAATGGAATACGTTTGAGAATCAAAATTCAAAATAACCTTGGCAGGTTGGTGTGATAGGTGAAAATCAATTATAACAATCAGCAAAGCTAAATATATATACCTATGTTTAAGTTAAAAAAAAAAATGAGTGCAATGGGTCTGGAGACTTCATAATCACTTTGGAAAATAAGAGTATGGTGAATAATTTTGGAAATAGATACGGTGATGTTTGCATAACATTTTCTAATGCAATTAATGCCACTGAATTGTACCTTTAAAAGATGGCTGAAGTAGCAACTTTTATGTTATATATATCTTACCACAATAAAAAAAAGACTACAGCAAAGCCACAAATGTTTTGCATATTAAAAACATTTTCTTCTTGACAAGCAAATGAGATGCAATATTCTGGTCTTAAACATTGTGTCTATGTATTATTTATTTCAGGATACGATATCACATTCTAGATTAAGCCATAAATGCTATTGAAAGTAAACATTGCTATCGTCTATGAACGAGTCGGAGAGATGTTTTTATTATCCTGGAGGAAATAAGGTTGTTGTATAAATAACCGGAATGTTGTCAAGTGGAAGAGGACTAGATAGTCTCCATTCTGTCCCACAGGAAGAAGAAGACCTGTTCTGTGGAATTCATCGATCTGTTCATTGCACGAACAGGTCTGCTTCATGAAACCACAGAGCATTCCTTAAGACATCGACAGACCAGTAAAATAAAAAATGCTCACATGAAGCCTAAATACCACTGGCTACCTGAGACAAGATGACCTAAGACGAGGCTCTCTCATGGATCACTGACACAAATGATCTGGTATTGGCCTGTGTAAGGAAAGTCATCAATCAGGTGGAGGAATACTTCTCTTGACCGCGAGGATCTGACCATAAAGGCGGGAGTCCCATCTACACGTTTCTGGTCTCCTTATCGTGTTGGTGATGATAACAAAAAGTTTGTATAGTCTTTATCTATTATCTCTGAATTTCTCTAAAACTTTCTGGAGAGCAGCCATAACTTCCTTATTTCTCAAGCTGTAGATCAAGGGGTTTAACATAGGTGCTAACACAGCATAGAATAGAGTGACCATCTTCTCCTCTTCCACTGAGGAGGCCGACCGTGGCCCCAGGTAGGTGAAGGTGGCTGTCCCGAAACACAGGGACACCACAGTGAGGTGGGAGGCGCAGGTCCCAAAGGCTTTGCTACGCCCCTGAGCAGAGCGAATGCGCAGAATGGCAGCAACGATACGACCGTAGGAGAACAGGACCAGGAAACAGGGCAGCATGATGACTAGAAATCCAGAGATGGCCACCATGACCATGTTGAAGGAGATGTCCACGCAGGCTAGCCGTAGGACAGCTAGGGTCTCACAGGTAAAATGATTAATAAGTTTGCGACACAGGGGAAGCCGAAAGGTGAGGACCGTCTGCATCAGTGAATTCATGAACCCAGCCCCCAAGCAGCCAGCAGCCAGCCCCAGGCACAGCCCTCCGTGCATGGTGACGGTGTAGTGCAGCGGGTGGCACACCGCCACGTAGCGGTCGTAGGCCATGGCTCCCAGCAGGAAGAACTCAGACCCGCCCAGTGCCAGGGACACACAGAGCTGGAGCACACAGCTGCGGAAGGGGATGGACTTCCGGGCTGACAGCAGGTGGGCGAGCATCTGTGGGGCAATGCTGTTCGTATAACAAAGGTCCACAAAGGATAAAACGGTCAGGAAGAAATACATGGGGGTATGAAGCCTGCTGTCCAGCCTGATCAGAAACAGGATGAGGAGATTCCCTACCATGGTCACCAGGTACATGGTCAGGAACAAGACGAAGAGGGAAACCTGCGTTCCCCAGTTCCTGGACAGCCCCAGCAGGATGAACTCACTCACCCATGTCTGGGTTTCATTTTCCTGGCTCATGAGTTCCTGAGGACGAAACTAGAGATGTTGATGTAACAGATCATGGACATTCAGGGTTGGAAGGCTGGCTTCCAGACCACATGGACCGCTTACCCATCTGGACTTAAATTCCCTAGAACACGTCAGCCCAAGTCTGCTTGAACACATCCACAGCCGAGGAGCAGCTGGAAATCAAGGAGAAAAGAAGTCACGTTCTTGAAATTCAATTTATTGGAACATGATTTCTCCCAAACATCTGTTCTTAAATGGGAGAAGGAAGTGAATGAAGTATTTAGACTTAAAATCCTACTCAACGTAATAGTTATTATAGGGGAAATCTCTGTCCTTCTGGTAAGAAAATTCTTGGCCCAATGAAAGATATCATTCTGGATAATGTTCGGTGCCATTTAACCACACTTTGTTTACTGGGTTCCCCTCTAAATATCTCTGACACAACCCTACTTACCTCTCCTCGGTGGAATGGATCTGGGAAATCCTAAATGTTTTCAGTAAAAACATTCTTATAGTTGCTTTTTTTTTTTTACTAAGTGATTTTAAATTTATCCTCAGTAACTTGCCTGCTTACTTGGGGAGTGTCAAGTGGGAGGCCTCTCCACCTGCCTCGCACAAGTGGCCCAGTTAGACAAGGTCAACCCAAGACGGGTGTTACATAGCTTCTGAAATTCACCTCTTGGGCCCCCCAAAAGGAATTTAATGGCATGTTTCTTGATGTCAGGTCGTTATTGAATAACAATATTTTCTTAAGGGGAAGACAGCTCATTCACTCACAATTGAACATTGATATGTCCTCACCAGTGAACACAGAAGGATAAAAGATCAAGTCACAATTACAGAACATCATGTCATGCGGTGGGAGTAGTTCTTTGACCCCGAAACAAAATTTCTCTTATGTTTGCTAACTTATGGAAGGAAATCAGTGAGCCACAACTATAGCACACAGATGGGAATCTGGGGGCTTGGAGACAATCCTGGGATAATATATGGAAGATCATTATTTGAACGGCCTCTAGACCATTCATGCTGTAACTACAGATAGGGGGCAGACTACAGCCGCACCTACTGAAAGCTTCCTGTCTCCAACTTCTAGAATGATTGTTAGACATCACACCACTAATGACACCGGTGTTTGGGGGTACTTAAGATTATAGCTCATTATTATAAAGATAGCAATATTCAGATGGTTAGTCATAAGATATTCAGGACTCAGTATTGTTTTGAACAAGGCCCAGAATTTCAAGAAACTTGTTAAAAACAGAGCTTTCAGAAATTGAGTGCCACACAATAGAAATGCTCAAACGATGCCAGATTCCACATTCAAGGCCTCGCTCTGGAAACATCCGCCACCCACCCCAAAATCAACCGGAGCCAGACACTCAGCAACAAGACTGGAGAAGAGTCTGGCCAGTGTGGCTCAGTGGTTGAGCACTGACCCATGCACCAAAAGGTCGCTGGTTTGATTCCTGGTCAGGACATATGCCCAGGTTGAGGGCCTGATCCCCAGTGGGGAGCATGCAGGAGGCGGCCAATCGATGTTCTCTCTCATCGATGTTTCTCTCTCTCTCCTTCTCACTTCCTCTCTCTCTAAAATCAGTAAAGGGAAAAAATTTTTTTTAAAATACTGGCGAAGAAATGCAAAATGCTTAAAGGTGTAAATAAGAGTCTTCACTGTGTGAAAAAATAAAATAAAGGATTAAAAATCATCACGACAAATAGGTAGTGTGTAATCAAGAGTGATGTTTTCCTAGACTGTTCAATGCTAACAGGTTGTTGAGCCTCGGGGTTAAAAATCAACAGCACATGTAGTCTTAATTGTTTGCAGTCCCTGCCTCACCGTTTTCTCTTGCATCACACCTGTGTGCACAGTGATTTCTTTTTGTTCTGCTCCATCCTACATTGGAATAGACAGCACTGTCATGGCACTGGCTGAAAATTCCCGAGTCAGGAAAGCCCTGATGAAAATATGAACAGGTCACGTTTACAGTGCTTTCTTAGCCTTACGTAAAGGTACCTCAGACGCTCCAATGCTTTTTAGAGATTCACCAGTAGCTAAAGAGAACACACTACAAATATAGCTAAATGAAAGACCCCTCCGTCTTTCCCATCCAACTGCTTTGTCCCCAACAGGTGGCTTCCTACATACAGTCTGCAGTGTATTTGGACTGAGGGGGTCATCAGGTCCACGCGGATAGGCAAGGGGGTTTTCTGGAAAACTCATTATAACCATTTTCCCAAGGGATGTAATTTTAAATCTAAACATTGAAACTCTATTTCCTCCACATGGGTTTACTTTCCCCTTTATGTTCTCCTCCCCACCTGACATCCTGCTGGCTAGAGTTGGCCTATAAATATGTATGTCCACATATTTCAAAAACTGCTGACTACACAGATGTTGAAGAAATCGATCGTTATTTTGTGCTTCCTACTTTGTGTTAGGGTTTCATTAAATAAACTAAACAACTATGCACATCACACAAAATACCTAAAACTTTACCAAAGTGGGATAGATTGTTTCCAAGAAGTATTTCTATTGTGACCTGTGTTTTAAAGGCACACCACTGATTTGTCCTGTACTGTATGTGAGACTTCTTCCAAATAACCTTTCTTCAGTCCTGTCTGCCAAGGCTCACGTGTGACTATGATGCCGCAGCTCCTCCAGGTGTGTCAGCAGGTGTGTGTGCACCTGTGGCGCAGTCGTGCAGGTGATGGGCAATGGTGGATTCATGTCCACCATTTATACGCCTATAATCAGGACTTACAGAAATGTCCATTTATAGAAATCAGACAAACAACCATAAAACAAGGGGTGTTTCCTGGCTATTTCCAAGAACATACCGGAAGGAGGTGTGTGCGCTTCAAGGCCGTGTTGTTCTGGCTCAGTTACGTAGTCAAGCAAGTGTATTTTCAAGTGACACATGACTTGTGTAAGCAATTTTTTAAAAAATAAAACCTATTTGATATTTTTAAGAAAGTGATGCGTTAAAGTCAAAGTACAATCTGTTTCTTTGTAAAATTGTTTCAAACGACTTACCCAACTCAGCTGCCCTGTGACCTGCTGAATGATCCGGTTCAACTTCAGAAAATCTTCTCAGCCTTGTCATTCTTTTGGTGGCAGATGTTAGGAAGAAAACAAATGAGCTCCTGACATCCTCTCGCCAAGACTAAGTGCAAACGTTCTCTGGGGAGGGAAGGATGTTCAGAGAAGAATTTAAAACCATACCTGCACTTTTTTCTATAGCAAGTTGATATCAACACTTTATTTGCCGAACACGTGCTTTGCACCAGGCATTGTATTAAGTACTTCACGTATCTATTACCAGAACACAAGGTAGTGCAACAGAACACAGTAATCTTCACAACGCTCTGAACGCTGGCTTGTTACCTCTGTTTGCGGATGGCAGACAGAGGTGAAGTGAGCGGACGGCGGAGGAGTCAGCAGGTAAGCCGATGGCATGGTGACCTGGGGCACACCCACGATGCTGCCCCTCGCATAGCATGATCCTAGGTATGTACAGCAGAGCGGCGGTCATGGTTTAAAGACTGTGGCTTCACCTAACACAAAAATCAGGAGACAGATCAAGAGGACTGAGTTCCTGCCTTGGATGCCATTCACCTCAGAGTCACGGTTGACCAGAACCGGCTCCTCCCACCCGCTCACCTGCAGACTTGAAGTCTGGCCCGTAAGCCACAAGGCCCACGTGACAAGGAGGAACAGGAATGCAGACAGGTCTCCCACTAGGGACTCTCTTCTTGCGATGTGGGAGGAACTGGTCTCTTCTATGAGCCTGCAAAGGTGGTCATGCTTCTCCTCTGTGTCTGGCGCCACCGTGAAGACCACAGCTTAGAGCAGATCCATAGCAGGGAGTCTTTGCTCCCCCCTCTAAGATGAAGAGCTCTGATCATGGACAGCAGGGACCCAAGAATGGTCTAATATCAGAAATAGATTAAGTTGAGTGCTTAATTTTTAAAATCAGCCTTCCAAAGAAGGTGTAGTCCGGCTGGTGTGGCTCAGAGGCTGGGCATCGACCCATGCACCAAGAGGTCACTGGTTCAATTCCCGGTCAGGACACATGCCCAGGTTGTGAGCCCGATCTCCAGTGGGGAGCATGGAGGAGGCAGCCAATCGATGTTCTCTCTCATCCATGTTTCTCTCTCTCTCTCCCTCTCCTTTCCTCTCTCTCTAAAATCAATAAGAATTTTTTTTTTTTTTTTAAATGAAGATGTAAACCCAAGAATATGTCTGTCTAGCTCAAGGACGATCCCTAACAAGTCGGAGGGCAGACATGCCAAAGGATCCAGGACCGTGAAGATGAGTCTGGTCTGGCTGGGAAGACGGGTCCCTCCGAGTTGCTCCCGGGGGAATGTGGATCTATTCTCTGTAGAGGTTATAAATAGTCTCTGCAAAGCCCCCACGCTGTGTAAAGAGTTGCTGAACTCTTGAAAAAGAGGCTGTGTTTCCCCGGACATCAAAGGCAGAGGCTGAATGTTGAGTGGCTGTGTAGTTAAGCCAGAATCACCACAGAGGAGGGAAGAGAACCAGGAATTCTGTCCACAGCCACGGGAATGTTTTCCTTCCACAGTTTGCCTTCGGGTCCCCCCCACACACAGTAGCTCATGCCCAAGCTCTGCAGAGACCCCTTCTCACGCCCACTGAGCTGAGCCCTCGCCAGCAGAAAACCGTAACAGCACTGTGACGCTGCTGTAAGCCACTGAACTGTGCACTGTTCTGTGTTGTGTGACCTTCACCTCGGTGTTTTAAAAAACCTTCACATGCTACATCACCTAAGGCAATAGAAACAAAGGAGAAAATGAACACATGGGACTACATCAAACTCAAAAGCTTCTGCACAGCGAAAGAAACAATCATCAAAACGGAAAGGCTACCCACTGTATGGGAGAGCATAATTGTCAATGATATATCAGATAAGGGGTTAATTTCCAATATATATAGAGTACTCATACAACTCCACAAAAGGAAGACAAAGAACCCAATTAAAAAATGG